ATAAGGAGAATACAGTACTATCATTTCATGGTATCATTCCAAGTGAAGCTATAGTTGATTAAGGGCTTCTAATTAAACAATCCACCTGTTTCATTTCTTTTAAATGCACATTGCCTTCTGAATTTCCCCAAATTAAAATGCTTCTTATGAGGAAAAAGTCAAACTAAAATCAGCAACAAACAAGTGGAGCCGGGATACCAGAAGGTAAGACTCTTCATGTGGGCTTAGGAATGAATTGATTATGTAAATAGAGCAGGAATTGATTTGTGTCACGTATCTAACGCTCCAAAAAGACAGAAAAATTCCTGATTTGGGCACAGGAAAGCACAAGTTGTCAACAGCGGTTTTGGTGTATATTTGGAAAGAAGTAAACGAACTTAATATCTTAACAACAAGGTAATCTATCAGTGGTGGTACAGGATAATTAAAAGTGATCATGCTGTACGTATATATATATATATATTAAGTTTTCAGCAGAATAAATGCACAAGAAGACTACTTAGCTATTTTTTAAACATTTAAATAAAATTTTGACCATGGGAGAAGTAACAGGGACTTAGCCCAAATTTATTCTGTTAAGAGAAAGTGAAAAAATAAGCGGCAGATATAAAAACAGCCAACAGAAAGCAGCAACAGATCCCATTCTGAGAGCTTTATTCACCTGGAGGTCTGCTGCAGGGCAGCACGGAATTACATTTCTCCATGGCCTAATTCCACTGAGTTTTGCACTGGTGGAAGGAAGCAGAGAAAAATGCAGAACTGTACCAATTACTATCCAGTGGATATAGTGGAGGAAAAAAAAAAAAGCTTTCACATTATGTCTGAATGTTCTGGCCTTGGTGCAAATAATTTCTCAAGCTTAAAAGCATAAATAACATTTTTTTTTGCATTTAATAGAGAGTCTACAGCATATGTTTACAAAACTAAATAACCACCTGTGTTTACACGAGATATACGAAGTTCAGTTTGATTTGCATGTCAGAGATCAGGCTGTGAATCTCTGACGATATTTACAGTTGGATAATTGAAATTAATCCTACCAAAATGACTTTGACAGTTCCGAATTTATGGTCTGAGAAAACAATCCTAGAACTGTTTGCTGAGCTATTAACATGGCCGGCTATGTATTTTCAGTCTAAGCTACACTGATGAATAAAATCAATTTGCAAGTTACAAAGCCTATTCCCTTCTTTCTCTTCCTCACTTCCTGTTCAAGTTGCTTCCTATAAATCATGAAGGAGATGGGATAGTCTTGAAGATAGGAGAGATACCTGAGTTTTGCTGCTTTGCTTTTTATTCTCAAACCATGCTAGGTATGTTACTCATCTCTTCTAAAGGCATTATGGCCTTGTTATTTCCATTTCCTCTAAAAGCAGCCAACTTCCCAGGAGAACACACAGTCCCTCCAACACCCTCAAGCCCTTCCATACCTTGGATACGGTTACATCTTTGCATGTGCTTGTCTCTTCAGGAAAGGTGAGAGGTGCTTGGGTTTGTGTCTGTTAATGTTTTCTGTTTTGTTTTTGTAAAATCAGAACAGACCTTTAAATAAAGGGCATGTAAGCTGTCAAGGAGGAGAACACTTAACCACAAAGCTACCTCATGTTATTCTCCTGGCAGGAATGTTATTCGTGGCTCAATATATGACAGTTTTCCAACCTTCCCAGAACAAAAAAGGCTCAAGAAAAATATCTATTAAAGAATTAATTCAGCAAGTTTCACCTCCTAATAAAGAAAAAAATTAAGCATTGAGAGCGCTCATTTTTCTTATCACTGGCAAACAATAATCTAATTTAATAAAATGGCTGACAACCTTTTCCTATTTAAAAGGTATCAGACCCTGCATTCTTTGGATTCCAATAATGGATTTGACGACTGTGCAAATTGCACCTGGTTTTGGTACTAAAAGGACAAAAAACCTCTCCACTTGAAGGACACGAAGTTCTGAACCACAGAAAACTGTTGCAGAAATCTTAAAAGTTATTTTTATTTTCTTTTTTTTTAGGAATCTATAAAGATATGTTCCTAACATATAAGAGCAGCTTCATGAAATCTGAAACAAAACAAAAAGACAACTACCAGTGTTTAGAGAATTGTACACAATTGTATCTCAAGTATGTATTTAACATTTCCCTTTTAGAGAGGTGATAGTTGACAACTTTGATATTCATCTCACTTCCCACTGCTCCCCAGTATGATGCTTTCCAGGAATACTCAAATTGAAAGCAGGCATGCAGGCATACATCCAGATATACATTAGGGATGAAAGGAAGCTCTCGTTTATAAAATGTTGATTTCTTATTCATAGAAAGAATTAATCACAAGATTAAACAGTAACTGTGATCACTGATCATCATCCTATTGCAAGTATGTTATCTTGTGCTCTGGCCCCTGCTCAGAGACAGCTTTGTGAGAGCTGGCAGACATCTGGAGCAGAATTCTAAAGAAGATGATGAGTTAAGACATTTGGGGAGGATTTCTTTCCCCAAGCATTGCAAACCTCTGTGGCAAGCCTGCTCCACCCTCCTGCTTTGTTGCACACGCTCAGACCATTAAAAGCATCTGAAGGAGGTTACAGACTGACATGGTACATTGAAGGCACAGCTGCCTTCCTTTTATCGCAGAACTCCAGGCACATAAATTTACTAGGGGCACTCAGGACAACACCTAGGATTAGTTTTGCCAAACTCATCCAATTTGCAGGCAATTAGTATTGCAAGCCAAAATAAATTCCAAGTTCCTTTGTATAGTATTTCTGTATACAAGTATCAATAAATCAACACTCCAAACTAAAAAAGACCAGGTTGCTTAACAAGCAAGTAACTTTCTCTTCTCACTTCCCCCATCCCCCTCAGTAAATAAATGCATGAATTGCCATATATTCTGTTTGAGCTTATTTTTCACTTGAATTCAGTCAACTTAGGCATAAGGTTCATTGGCAGCTGACAGTTCTGCAGAATTATGTCTTCGGTCAGGCTGTCTCAAGCTTGAAATCATCACATCACGATGGATCCTGCTCCCTTTAGCCACGGACAGTTTGGCACAACTTAAGGTCTCAATAATTATAAGCTGATATATAAACCTTCCACATCATGGCTGCACTCCTTACTCTCTTATTTTCAAATGCAAAATACTCTTCAAATACACTGAAGGTAGAAATGAGAGCTGTTAATGAGTGCGAGTGGGAGGCATGGGTTGGCAACGAAGATTTGCTTTGATACCTCTGACTACAAAAGCTTCCTCGGCAGAGAAGATGCTTAAGAAAGTCCAAATAAAACCTCCCTTATGCAAATTCAAAACCATTTCGACATAAAATTAAGACTATTCTTAGTATTATTTTTTAAAAGTCATGCATGTGTCATAAAGGATAATCGAAATATTAAAATGCTACAGCAGGTTAAGAAAAGAGGCAATGAACAATGCAACAGATTCCAGGCATTTTCACACTAGAGAAGAACACTGACCCTTAATTTCTATTACTGATAGTGAGGGTGGAAGCACCATCTGTTGCCAGAAGTGATTGGTGATTTCTGCAGTGCATCCTACTTCCTTGAACTTTGCCAATCTTTTTGGCTATGGCTTTATAAAACTTGAGCATTTGTTCTGAGCTTGTTTTAGTTTCTGCTCTGAGCTTAGTCAAAATAATTCACCTGCTTCAAAAATAAGCAAATAGAGGAAGGATGCATACATTGGTAATGCCATAAAGAAGAAAAGGGTTTTCTGATGTAAAGCTTTCCCAGTTCATAACTTGAAGAGAAGACTGAAAATCTCATAATAGCAGAGTTCAAATCCATTCTCAAAAAACTTGACTAAATTAGAAAATTCTTAACAATCTCAACTCTTATGGACAGTTGGCCAGTAGAAAATTCTTAACCATCTCAACTCATTTATGGCCAGTTGGCCAGTACAGTGGTACTTCACTTACAACGAGAACTCTGAAGCAGCTTCCCCAAGCATGACCCCAGTAGGTCTCAAGTGTCTGCTGCAGGGCTCACTGCACTTGGAGTGGACAGGGAGGGATTGAAGCAATATAAGAGAGAAGGAATTCTCCCTTGCTTTCTCAGTGAAGCTTCCTCCCCTCCTCTGGGCAACACTCCTTTGGGCAACAAGCTTGAAGGAGTATTTTGCCTCATTCGAAAGCAAAGGGAAAGAGGAAATGACAAACCCACTAGGAGTGGATCATAACAAATCAGGGAAAACACAAACAAGTCTGAAGAATTCTGTAGACAGGCAACATTCAGTTGTTGAAAATCAGATTTAAGACAGTAGAGTGGTTTCAGTAATGCTATTTGTAAGTTATCCATGAAGTATCAGCTCCAAACAATATCCCGTTCCGTTCCTTTAAGGTGCACATTATTCAAAATATATCACCTCAAATACAACTGAAGATAGATGAGGAACTAATGATTAATTGGTAAGCAAAAACATACTTGTATTTCTTTAAGTACCTTCATAGAATGCATTTGCCAGAGCAATAAAGAAAATGAAGAGGTATAGTTATTTATTAATCAGGAGTCACCTTGCCAAAACTTAAATAATGAATAAAATAAATTTCCACTTGTCCAACTTATGAATGTACAGCACACTTGAATTTTAAGTTAGAAATATGAAATGGAAAACTCGTTTGTATTTTTGTTCTGTTACTTATTTACTTTATGTACTGAAGTTTCATAAAACCACGACCTTAAAAGCAAACAAACAAAAACGAATAACAGCAATAAAAACAACTGCAGAATTGCAGATGCCAAATAAAAGGAAACAGTCTTTGTGGCACTATCTTAATTTAAGTCCTTCTCTGCTAATTTGAACAGCCTTCTCTAATAAATGTCATCAAGGTTGTTTTTCTTGCACCACTCCCTTTAATCTACTCATGTTCCTAAAGGGAAGTCCACAAGTTGGTGTCAAACGTCTCTCTCTCTTTGACTGGGCTGAAGCATAGAACACTGATTATTAATTACAGCTATCAACCAGATAATAAAGAATTGCCAGTAATTCCATACCTGTTGACATCCCATATTTTACTTGTGCTGTCCTTAGAGGCAGAAGCCACAAAATCACCACACGAATGCCACGAGCAGTCCCATACAGCTTGGGCATGTCCTTTGAAAGTCAGAACGCAGCCCCCTTTTGAGAGGTCCCATATCCGTACTGTTGTATCCCCACTTGAAGTGACCAACTGAGTGCCACTGTTAGAAGGAAAAAGAAAGACTAGTTAAGTAAACAACAGTAGATTTTATATATAAACATGATATTTAAAAAAAAAAACATTTTCTGATGCATCATAGACAAAGCGGTCACCTATTAGATATCAAGAGAGAAGAAAAGACATGAAGTCATTATTTCCCATGAGAAAACAAATACGGGTCCCAGAAATGACATTCCTACTTTGTGCAGCCTATTTATGAGCTTATTGATAACATAACTGAAGCCCAGGAAACCACTTTCAAAGTAGAATAAAATAGCTTCAGGGAAGAATATATTTTTTTTTATTTCTCAAATCCATACCACTTCCTATATATAAATTATCATTTAATTGTAACATTTTTGTCTTCTGACTCACTACACATCATCTCATGCACTCACTACCTATTGACTTCAGATATGAGTGTAGTTCCAATGCATTTAAGTGTGGATGCAGTGTGTCAGACTCAAAGCTCACCTGGTTCAGCAACTTACATTCTATCACAAAGAGGAGAGGACTCTTAATGGGAAAATGGTAAGAATGAACGTGTAGAGTAGTGTAATACCCTCCCAAAGCTTCTGTCTCAGGATTTCTTTGAGACAGACACTGTACATTGTGCTTAACAACTGCTTATAGGCTGTTTTTCTCATGACTACCTATTTTTGAACACATGCACGCCTCCAGTACCCGCAATCTCATGTTAATGAGTTCCAAAATGTAATTTGGCATTTATAATTATTTTCCTGTCCTAAATACCTTCATTTGATGCTTCTAATTCTATTGGAATCTATTACGATGCGAAGTAAACACTGACTGCACATGAACACTCTTCCAAGCCAACAATGATACTACAGGTTCCCTACCACATTATTTTACCAGCCAAGCTGCAGACTCAGACTGCGGACTCATTCCTCACACTGAAGTCATTCCATATCTTTGACCATCTTTTGCCATCCTTCTCCACATCTTCTGAGATGAAAGAAGCACTGAAGAAACAGGTACCCAATGGAGGTACCCAGCAGCACAGCAGTGCTTTCAGTTTCGTTCCTTGTTCTGTTCATTCCATCAGTGTTTTTAGTACCACTGCACAGAAATCCACAGAAAAGATTCCTTTCCTGAGTACCAATAACTAGTTTAGAGAAATTACTATTTATTTTCCTCATATGCATTATTTCACATTCATCTGCATGGAATTTCATTTGCCATTCCATAGTCAACTTTTCCAAACTGAATTCTTCTCCTGCACCTTCTTCACACGGACCCTTCATTTTTATTGCCATCGTTATTCTGATCAGCAAACCTTTCCACTTTTTTTTCTTCCAGTGTCCAAGATCATCCTAATAACTTCAGTCCCAGCACAGATCCCTGAGGGACACAGGTAATTTCTCCATTCAGAACATGACATTTTATTCCCATTCTTTCACCAGTTTTTCAGCTCACAAGAGATTTTTCCTTTTCTATTCATGGCAGCTATGCTTTTTGTGAGAGTTTCTGTTGAATGACCTTAAGAATCTACTGAAAACTCAGGCAGACTGAATTGATGAGATCTCCCTCATTCAGTGAGCCCTGCAGAGAACTTCCATAGATTTGAGACGATTTCCTAAATCGTGTTGAAATTTCCCAGTGCTTCAGTATAACAAATGCATTGAGCTATCCTGAAATGTTGCCCTTAATATCATTTCTACCAGTCCTCCCAGTATAAAGGTTAGATGGACTGATCTACATTCATCCCACGGCCTTTTAAAACATTGAAAAAGTTAATGCACCTTAAGTGATATAAGTAATACTGGAGGTTTCCTATTATATTTATGGAAAAGTTAGTTAAAGGCCAGAAATCCATCAACCTTGAGTATTCAGACTAATTTCTCTGCAGTTATCTCACCATCATCAATACAAAGATTTTGACAAAGCATATAGGTTTAAAGCCTGAGTGAGGGCTGCAGGAGGAGACCCTGATTTTGTCAGGGAATAAATGTGTTTTCATTAATGGAGCTCTCGTCATTTTAATAACTCGAGATACATCTCACTTGTGGAGACATAAAATTAGCAAAATGACAAATTATTGTACCCTTTACACATTTAGGAAATCAGAACTATTTTAAAACAAATTCTGAAGCAGGTATAAAGTGGGACTGATGAAATCTATAATTGATTCAGAGGGTAGCAGGCACTGCCACTGTTGTGAATCACAAAAGAAGATTTATTGCTTATGCATTTTTTAATATATAATCCCCAAAATACCACATGAAGAACTCGTTCCTTGGGCTGAATTTTAAGAAGATACTGTCCGGGCAGTGATGAAAATCTTTCAGGAAACAGATATGAGCAGGAAGGTAGTTCAAATGGATTCAATTTGGCAATCTGTGGCAGGGGAAGGAGTTACAAATGAGGTTTAGCACTCCTTGCAGATCAAAAGGAGAGCAAAGCAGAGACACAGAAACAAAAGCACAGCCTGTGGAGGAGAAGTTTGGAGGGACAGACTGATAGCAGCTAAGGGGCAGAAGTGCTCAGAAGCAGAGGGACCCCAGCACCCCAGCCATTGCAGCATCACTCTGTACACATGATACAAGGTTACCTGAAGTAAAACAAGACCATTAGGAAAAGTAGATTTTTTTAATGATTTAGCACGCCAGTCTCTAATATCTGCCACAATCCTCTACTGAAGGACTGATTTGAAAATAATTTTTTTAATACAATAACATATGGAAATGCAACATTATATGCTCAGCCTTAAATTTACCAGCAGCTGCATACACACTTCTATTTGAATTTAAAATTCATCACTAACAGAGAAAGCTCACGTTAATTCTGTGGAGCATGTGTATATACACACACACACACACACACACATATATATATATGAATGAGAGGACAGTGAACAGTTAATTCTTTTTAACCAAACAAATCAAGGAGACACACAATATATCAGGAGAGAATAACAAGCAAAAAATCCTACCCTTTTTGGTCAGCTCACAATAGAGAGTCTATGACATCTGTAATCCCTGAACTGTTTCTATGGATGGGATCTTTTTTCCTAATAGTAAATAGGCACAGTTCTACTTCTCGAGGGAATTTTTCATGGATTCCCAATTGATGCCATAAGCCCACTGCTCCAAAAAGTTATTGTAGAAGACTTCAGGTGACTGATTACCTTCATGAAATACCAGAAAAACAAAGGCAGTTAGTATGCTGATGGTGCAGCCCTACAGAAAGACCAGGATATCAGCAGGAGTGCCTCACTCCTATGCTCTGGGATAATGGGCTCTGCAGGCAGAGCTGAACCTTGAGCTGCTCCAGCAGGGTTATGCTGAGGCTCCCTCTGAAGATGGTGTAGCCAGCAGGCTCTTCTGCTTCCCTACATTGGCTGCCAAGCAGCACCACAGGCCCCATCCTTCAAAACATACAAGGACTGTCTTATATCAGCCAAAAAAAGCAATATCCAGCAGCCTGAGAACTTTCTCTTTCAGCCAGAGTGACAGTTTTTCATAACCACTGAGTACACCTGGTCTGCTTTATCCCAAATCCTGGCACAAAGGTTACATTTGCTTTCTCTACAATTTACTTGATAAATAACAGCAAGGTAGGCTTCTCTGCCCACCGTATCTCATCCTCAGGGTCAATCTCAGGCATATGAACTTCAGCAGATGCCAGGGACAGTACTGCAGATAACAATTCTGTTACTATATTCTACGCTGCATTAAGTGTACGCAGCACATCTGTGGTGCCAGCATTTGTATGTATTATTTATGTAGTGGTGTGGACGCACCTGGAGCTCTGCAGACAAAGTAAAATGCAGTTCCTTTCTTGAGACAGTTCCAGCCTAAATCAAAAGGAGGTGAGCAAAGCCTTATACGCAGTGCAGGCAAATACTGGTTCTCAAAACAACACGCAGAGACAGCACTTGTGTTCAAGTTGTGTCCTAGAAGAGCTGCAGCAGCAGGTAGCTTCTGACTGGAACTCAACAGCACATCAACATCAGCAGCTCATCAGATAATTTTAAACATGCCATCTAAAGCACCGTGAGATTAACGGCCTTTCACCATGGCAATTGAAAAACATTTTAAAATCAATCTTAAGCAATTGGAAAAATTGTGTTTCTTATTTACTTCTATTTGTGCGATTATTCTAAAGCAAAACTGTAAAAACCACAGGACTATTTGCAGTATCAAAGCAGGTAGACCCTAAGCACAGCAAAACCCAAGGGCAGAACTGTAAGCAGTGTTAAAAATTACTTTAATTTTGCTGACATTACATGCTAAGCTAGAGAAGAAAGAAGCATCTAGTGCCCAGCTGCTTCCTTCACAACTCTTACTAGAAAAAAAATGAGTTGGTCCATCAAAACCAGAACTAATGAAGCCTGAATATCTATGGAAGTGTATTTTGCACCACCACCTTAGCTGCTGGTTAAATATAAATACTGGGAATTGATTGATCTTTTAGACTTCGAGCTTTGTCAGAATTAGCCTGCAGGTTAGAAGTTACTAGAGAGCATGGGAGATCGTGTCAGGAACCAGTGCAGAGATGCACACAGAAGGTATAGGGGGCACATCCTTGTAAGCTGCATTTTCCTGGGAAACAAGGCTAAAAACTGTGAGGTAGTTACATGAGGAAAGCACAGACCTACCACTGACATCCCAAGAAAGCAGCATCTCACTTTTCCATTTGATACTAAACACAACACAAGGGACGCAAATGCCAAACATGAGTTCAAGCTGCCAGTCATTATTACTCTTCTCTTTTGTCCCGGTCTCTCATACTACACTGGTCTCTCATAGGCTTGTAACCAAGGAGAGATGGTGAAATCTGGATGAATCATAAAAAGAAGTTGAGGTCAACAGAATATTGAGAAGATTCCCATAAAAAAAAAAATACAGGTGATTTTTTCCACACCAGGTGGGAGACCTGCCTGACAACGTGGAACAGGACAATGTGGCTAAAACTTTCTGTGGGTACAAAGGAAGACAGCACAAAGCCCTAAAAGAGGAATACATCAGAAGTCACATG